CATGTTAGGCTGATTGGTAACTCTAAATTGTCCCTGGGTGTGACAGTGTGAATGATTGTTTGTCTCATTTGTCTCTATGTGTCCCTGTGATGGACTGGAGCCCTGTCCAGGGTGTACCCCGCCGCCATTCAATTCAGTTTATTTATATAGCGCCAAGTCACAACTGAAGCCTCTTGCACAGTCATGGCTGAACATGGGCACCAGTGACCCCCGCGACCCAGAAAGGAAGAAGTGGGTAACGATAATGGATGGATGATAATTATAGAGGGCTCAATCTGCAAAAAATAAAATAAATCATTGTAATCTTTGTGATATTCCTAAATATTTGCCTTACTATAACATCAGATTTCATAGTAACATAGTAACAGGTCTCTCTTGAAAACGAGTCGTCGTGGCTCTGAGACTAACCTGCATAAATAAAAGTTGAATGAATAGTATGGCTTCTTAGCTTTTTTACCTTTATGTTTAAGACATGTATATTTATAGACCTACTTTTTTTAAAAGATCCTATTTTCCCCCAGCTGCATTTATGTCTGTTTTTTTTTTTTTTTACAAAGTTATGCAGGAGTGAGAATAAAAACATGTAATTAGCATAATTTCTGTCTGTGTTTTTGTTTCTCAGCCTGAGTTCTGTGGACTTCAGCAGGCTGAGACGACCATGGGCTCATTCTGTTCCAAACCGTTCGTGCCTGTGCTCCAGACTTTGCCGATAATCTTGCTCTTGGTGTGACCAAATACAAAATTCAGCCGCTTTATATCAAGTTATTTGTTCACTGTCTTCACTGTATTTGTTTTCATTCTGGAATCTGACCAATCAGAGCTCAGAGTGGGAGGAGACTCACCTGCCTCCACGATAGCCACGCCTCCCATGTTCAAGGAACGCCGCTTCATACACTGTTGTTAGCGCCATACAGCTAATATCATTTACGTTTACGACTATTTCTCCGAACCGAACCTCTTGTCCCCAGCCGGAGGATGTACGCCTAGTTGCTGATCGGGATCTGTTGAACTGGTGCGTCAAGTTGTCGCTGGTGGCAGCCGCTCGCGGTAAGTTAAACTGGTGTTAGCTGGTTAGCCGAGAGATCCTCCTGTCGGGGTTGGTTGTTGTGCTAAATGTAGCAAGTTACCGCTTAACCTTGCCGATTAGACAGAATGGTTAGCAATAATAAGTTGCTCATCCAGTGTCGGTTGAAACATTCTGGTTTATTTTTGTCTCTCAAGAAAATGAAGGTTTTAGTAGCGGCTACATTAGCTTGCAGCGTCGAGAAGTTGGCAAAGCTTGTCGTCAGTGTGGCTAGCAAGTTAGCTGACATGCTAACGATAAGGAGGCTGACCTGACTGTGTTACACTGTTTGTTGGTTCTCGTTCCTCTAAAATTTTTACCGGCTTGAGGTCAGGTTTGATATGAGACTGTTAATGTTGGGAAATTAGCCGTTTGTTCGCTAAAAAAAATATTTAGGTAAAGTTGTAATATTCTGACGTTTATGCAGCGTTTCGCTTAGCTACGGTCCGCGTTAGCTGTACTTGTGGTAAACATTCATTCCTGATCGTGCAATTTATTTGAACTGCGTTGTACGACGTGATTATCAAAACGTCCGATCCATGTTGTCGCTTCATGAGCGGAGAGGAAGCGTGTCTGTTTTCTCTCCTTCCATGTCGTTCACCTCGTCCGTTTCAACTAGAAAAAGTCCCGTTTGCCACAGACGTCCAGCGTGACTAACATACGAGCTGACCCTGTCTACAGCGAACTTCAACTGCGGATGATATCGTAACGTGCTTGCCACATAACTTAAACGGCAGGACGAAAGTGAACGTCAGCCATGAGAGAACCGAGAGCGGTCAGCTCAGCTCGCAGAAAGCGGATAGCTCGGTGTTTAGCTCGGAGGGGGAGGGGAGGAGGCTGGGCTACAGCGCCTACGTTCCAGCACGAGACCAGAATGGCGGATAAATGCTCGATTTTTTTTTGTTCTTGTTGTTGCGCTACAGCACCAATTTTACAACCCTGTGCTATTAGGGGTGTTTTCGTCTTGTTTCGACTAAGAAAAATCGAAGCTAGATCTAGGAGAGAGACAATAACGGCGACCGAAGACCGTGAGCTCAGCCGCCATATTTACCGCTAGCGGTGGTGTGGAGCAATGAGGCACAAAGACTGCCCTCCCTTGGCTGGTGTCCTGTAGGGACCGTCGGTAAATTACTTCACTTTGTAAATGTGGTTACAGGAAATAAATGTGTTACACATTTGTCAACTTCGATATGTATCATTTCAAAGATAGTGATTTTATATTATATATACATATATAATATAAAGATTATGTAAAAGCCTGTTTTAAGTTACATAAGTCCTAACTGTGTCAGTTGTGTTCCCTATTGAAAGATGCCCCCTAACCAGCACTTACAGCTGGTCTTAGGAACACAGATGTTTAGATTTATCCTTTGTTTTTACATGATTTTATCTGAATGCACAACCCTATTGAGTTTTTTTCTTCATCAATACCTATCCTCCTGACTATCAGCAGTTTATATTTGTCCTCCTTGGAGGAGATTTTGTAAATATGAAGCATCCTACTGAATTACCAGTAACTCCCTTGGCTCTCTACAGAGGACATTTAGGGCTTTTCAAATATACCAAATATGAAAGTTGGGCTTTGGTTCTTTTCTCTTCCTCGTGAATAATAAAATATTGGACATGGACGATATTTATTTTTCCTGGTAGTCAGGAGTCTATTCTTCAGTCCAGGATTTAAATGACTCATTAAAAGATACATGACAGGCGTAACATACGAGTAATATGAGCGTCAGTTATGTACGGACTAGACCAGCTACTGGTACTTTGAAAAAAAAAAAAAAGAAGTTATTTCTCTCATTGCACTACCAAGCATTCAGATTTTTGTCTGCATCATTGTATAGTTTGCAGTAAAGTTTGAACATATTAATATTATTATTGTTTGGTTACCTTTTCCTTTTAGCCATCCTATTTGTTAAAAAAAAACTGTAGTATGCTTTTTTATAACTGTGTATTGTTGTTGCTGTTGTCCATTGTTGTCATCTTTGTTGAAATCAGGTCTCTCTTGTAAATGAGTCCTCGAGGCTCAATGGGATTTACCTGTATAAATAAAGGTTGATTGATTGATTGATTGATTGATTGATTGATTAAACAAGCCACACTGTAGATTACAGTTTAGGGGACAGTGGTTTAACTTGCAGGGTTTATTAGAAGTTTATGTGTGTGCGTACATAATGAGCAGCTGGAAGACCAGTCTAGAGCATTTCAAAAGTCTTAACAGTGATTATAGTTGTTTTTTTTTTTTGTAAACTGACATTTGTGTAAATTAATGTTGTCTGCATTACAATTTACAAAAATATTTTCAACTCATTTTATTTATTAGCACCAAATCGCAGCAGAAGTTGTCTCAAAGCACTGTACAAAAACATTCATACATTATAAAAGCCAATTATTATAAGTTATATATCTAAGGAAGCCAGCAAATTGCGTTTAATCTTCACTTCATTGCAGTCTCTCATCCCGAGCAAGCACAAAGACAACAGTGGAAAGAAAAAACTCTCTTTGAACAAGAAGAAAGCTCCAGCAGAACCAGGTTCAGGACTAGTGGCCTTCTGTTTCAATCTGCTGGGTTTGAGAGGATAGGAAGGAGAAAGAAACACAGGATGGCAGGTCCAGGTGTACCCCCTATTGGAAGAAAGACAAAAAAGCACATGTTAAGGATAGAAATAATTACAAATACTAAGATATGGTAGAACTTTATTGATCTCTCAGGAAAATGATGTGCCAGAGTTTCAGGACAAAGGAACATACACAACGAAAACACAAGATATTTAAAAAAAAACAGAGAATTAAAATATATATATATATATAAAATAATAACAATATAGAATATATATAAGAATATATAATATAAAATAATAATAAGAGAGGTATAAAACATACCAACAATTAAGCTCTAAAACAGGTCAGATGCAGACAGAAACATTAAAGTGTTTATTGTGGTGCAGGATTAATTTTATTGTCCTATGTGCAGAAAGTGGGAGCAGTTGAAAAGTTTGATAGCCAGAGGGAGGAAAGGCGTTCTGTGGAGCACCTCGGTGGTCTCAGTCTACGACTGATGGTGCTGCGGTAAGAGTCCAGTGTGTCATGCAGGGGGTGTGATGTGTTGTTCAGGATCTGGAGCAGTTTCTTCAGCATCCTTCACTTTCAGCAGCACCTTCAGTCATAGACTGAGACCACCGAGGTGTTTTTCCAACATTGAGTTGCAGGTGGTTCTGTCCACTCCACAAAGCTGTCCACCACTCCTCTGTCCTCCTCCTCCTTCCTGGTCACCAGTGATGCAGCCCACAAACTTCTGCAGATGGCAGGATTGTGAGTTGTACCTGAAGTGCGGGGTGTAGAGGGTGAACAGAAACGGCGAGAGGACCATCCCCTGAAGAGTCCCTGTGCTGCTCAATATGGTGTCCGAGGTGGTGTTCTGCAGCCTCACATAATGTGGCCGACCCATGAGGTAGTCTCCCATGAGGTAGTCTCCCATGAGGTAGTCTCTGGTCCAAGTGACCAGCGAGTCATTCACCTGCATGTCCAGGAGCTTACTGCAGAGTAGAGCAGGTCTGATGGTGTTAAAAGCACTGGAAAAGTCAAAGAACATGACTCTTACAGTGCTGCCTGCCCTGTCCAGGTGCGTGTAGGCTCTGGACAGCAGGTAGATGATGGCGTCATCAACTCCAATGTGTGGCTCGTACGTATGCAAACTGGAGGGGGTCCAGGTATGGTTCCACCACTGATCTGACGTGCTTCAGGACCAGCCTCTTCAGTAACTTCATGGCATGTGATGATAAGGCCACAGGTCTGCAGTCACTGTGTGAGTTTGGGTGGTTATTTTTCAGCTCCGGGACCAGGCATGTTGTTTTCCACAGAGCAGGGACGGACCACCCTCAGGTGAAAAATGTGTTCAAAAACATCACACAGCTGAGCCGCACATCCTTTCAGGAGCTTGGGGCTCAAACCAAAACAGGTAGAAATACAAATCAAGTTCAAGTTGTGTTTATTTGTCATATGCAAGGCTAACAGTACAATGAAATGTTCAGGATGAGAAGAACCGATTTGACTCAATAAAAAAATCAGAACAAACTAACAAGAAATGCTAAAGCATGCAATAAGGGTACAAAAATAAAATACCAAAAAGTAAACAGAAACAGTTAGAGTAGAGTAGATATTTTGGACTACATGTGATGTAATCTTTTTCTGACAAATCTGTGTAAATGCTGCAACAGCTCATTGTTTTCACTTTTGTTTGTTTAGCCCCTTTGAGCATGTGTATACAATGAAGAAACGTGCAGAAGACCAAGAGCCGATATTTGCACCCCAACAACAGCAGCCACGTCGCCCCCCAGTTCAGGGCATTGCAGAAAGCTTTCAGCACCGGGCCCTTGCCCCTGCTCCAGCTGCAGTGGAGGCACCTGCAGAAAACATGCAGCCTTCAACCGGCATCCAGTATTCCCTCCCACAGGGCTATCAGGTATGATTTGAAATGCAGTCTATTCAGCTGTGTTCTACTTCTTTTAATTAAGCACAATATTCCTCTACAAGTCAAAGTACACATTCATTGAAAATTTAACAAATAAAAATGACTGTTTTAAACACTACTTATTTGGGAGGACTGCAGGAGTGTCTCTGTCAATACAGAGTTGAGTTTTTTTGTCTCCGTCTTCCTTTTGGATTCTGACGTTTTGCTGCATTTTTCCTGAAAGGTGCCTGCGATGCCTCAAAGCACAAGTGGACATGGACACAACACTTCTACACCTCATATTAGTCCTCATGCACACAGCCTGACAGTTCAGTCACAGACCCCTGCTGCTGTCCAAGGTCATGTTCATCCACCTGCACCTATGGCTTCAACCCAAGGGCAGCAGTTTCAACGATTAAAGGTACGCGTTCATTTTTAAAAGGCCTCAAATCTGTCTTTTAGCATATGAGAAATAAATCAACAATTTATTTTTAATTACACAACTTGAGACTTTGGTATTACATCTTGTCTACACATAAATCTTAGGATGATCATTTGCAATAGCAAGATATTTATTTCATGGCTGATAATTTTTCCCATTTTGCTTTGCAGGTTGAAGATGCTCTCTCTTATTTGGATCAAGTGAAACTGCAGTTTGGGAATCAGCCACAAGTTTATAACGATTTCCTTGATATTATGAAGGAGTTTAAATCACAAAGGTTTGTTTTTACTGCCAGTTACCTCAACATCTGAAGGAAATGATTTCCTATTGCTCCAGTTTGGTCAGATTCTTTATACAAAGCCTGTGAAGCACTACAAATTGTTGAATGACCGTGGTTTGTACTGTTTCTCCAGCATAGACACTCCTGGAGTCATCAATCGTGTGTCACAGCTCTTTAAGGGCCACCCTGACCTCATCATGGGTTTCAACACTTTCTTGCCACCGGGGTATAAGATTGAAGTTCAAACCAACGATCTAGTCAACGTTACCACACCAGGGCAGATCCACTACATCACCCCTCATGGTGTTTCTGTACATAACATCCCTGCAAGTGGTGCATCCAGCCAACCCCCCATCAATCACCAGCACCAAAGTCTGCCACAGACTGGACTGAGCACTACCAGTACCCCACCACTTGCTACTCAGCCTACTGTCAACAAAACCAGCAAGGTAGAATATACCGATCGCCCAGTCACAAGTTATAGGCCCTGTTCGTCACAGGTAACTTTATAACGTTGTTGTGCTCTGTGGTTATTCTCAACAGCCAATTCAGTCTCCGGCCCATACACCCACCAGCCAGCCCAATCCATCCATCCCAGCTTATGCCTCACCACGTTCACCTTCAGTTCAGCCCCACACTCCTGTCAACAGCACGCCATCCAGTGGTCCACCTCTCCAGAACAACCAACCGGTGGAGTTTAACCACGCCATAAATTATGTCAACAAGATCAAGAATCGCTTTCAGGGCCAGCCAGACATTTACAAAGCCTTTCTGGAAATCTTACACACTTACCAGGTAGGAAAAGACATTTCAACACTTGTTTGTTTGTATTTGAAGGAAGCGGACTGTTAACTCACAACTGCTTTCTCTTCTTTATCAATAATTCAGAAGGAACAGCGGAATGCTAAAGAGGCTGGTGGTAATTACACCCCGGCACTGACTGAGCAGGAGGTCTACACTCAAGTGGCAAGACTTTTCAAAAACCAGGAGGACTTGCTCTCAGAGTTTGGACAGTTCCTGCCAGATGCAAACAACTCATTGGTGAGATTTTAAATGGCCCAGAATGTGGCCCATTTGAACTCAAGTGTTTTAATTTAAGTCTGTTTAATTAAGACGTTTTAAAATGTTCTTTAGGTACCATTTCTATGGGCTATTGTTATGGATGTTAAACTAAAGTTCAATGTTTTGCTTTGTAATAAAGTATTTGAGTCAGTGGTCCAAGTAACTACAGTTTCACCTGTTCTCAACATATATGTTGGAAAAACATTACCAGTACATTTGTCTTTAGGGTATTTAAGGTACTGTACTTGATTCTTCCCTTTACATTCTTCTTGTTATATCTGTTGTATCTCCTTTGTCTGACTGTGTTGCGATATTTCTCCTGTAGCTTTTGGGTAAGGCTATACCTGACAGAGCTGAGTCCGTCCGTAATGATCATGGTCCCACTGTGAAGAGACCGTCCCTGAACAACAAACAGAGGCTGAATCAGAATGGCCTGCCAGTCAGGAGGCCTTCTGGAGTGGGTGCCACCCCTCCACCAAAGGTTTCTAAATGAATTAAGCATTTTCTACTACCTTTTTTTTTCTTATTTGACCGAGAATAGACTATATATTAAAATGATGTCACAAATTTACTGTATTTGAATGTGATGGCTAAGTTCATTGCATCACACAAACCTTTTATTGAGAATATGTGTTTAATAAATTGATTTTCTTTTTAAATGTTGACCTTTTTGTGTCATTTCAGAAGAAATCTTTAGTAATGGGAAAAGGCCACGGTTTGACTGAAGCCAGTAAACTCAGCACAAGCACTGAAACTATGTTCTTTGAGAAGGTCAGTACATTTAAATTCTTTCAATAAAAGTATAAAGACAGTTTTACTAAGATGTGTATGATATGAAAGTAGTTTAACTTTGTTTAAATACATGAACTCAGGTGAAAAAGGCTCTGCGCAGCGCTGAAGCCTATGACAACTTCCTGCGGTGTCTGCACATCTTCAACCAGGAAGTGATTTCTCGCACTGAGCTGGTCCAGTTAGTCATCCCATTTCTTGGGTAAGTGTGGCTGTTTGGATCCTAAATGCAGCACAAGACATTAGTCCATAAGCAGATGTGTGATTTCAAACACAAATAGTGAGTAAATAACAGAATTGTACATTAGGAGTTTAGTTTTAGATATAATTGTTGCTCTTGTCAAATTAGCATTAAAAGGTCACAATATTTTGATGAATAAATAAGAATGAAGGATTAATAAATTTGTAATCACTTGTTAATGTCAACTACCACCTCACTTTTGTGTTTGTATTTGTACCATGTCCTGACTGACAGAAAATTCCCAGAGCTTTTTACGTGGTTTAAGAACTTCCTGGGGTACCGAGAGTCCAGTCATGGAGACTCGAGCCATGCAGAGAGTTTACCCAAGGAGCGCTCCACAGAGGGTATTGCCATGGAGATCGACTATGCCTCCTGCAAGAGGCTGGGGTCCAGCTACAGAGCACTGCCGAAGAGCTACCAGCAGCCCAAGTGCACAGGAAGAACACCGCTGTGCAGAGAGGTTGGCATCGTCTCAGATGGTTACATTTTCTAACTACTGGATAGTATAATATACTAACTAACAATTCTACGGGTCTCTCAGACAATTACACTGTTATTTATTGAACAAAAACAACTGAATGATTTTTTTAAAAACTAAAAATGGGATTTTTTTTTTTTTTTTTTTTGCAGGTCTTGAATGACACTTGGGTTTCATTTCCATCTTGGTCTGAGGACTCTACATTTGTGAGCTCTAAAAAGACTCAGTATGAGGAGCATATTTACAGATGTGAGGATGAGCGCTTTGAGGTGAGCAAGATGTTTCAGGTTTCTGTCGTTTCACGAATACTCCGAAATGTTGCACTTTGTTCAAGAGTCAAAACTTGTTTTAATTAAATATGTATGTTTAGCAAACTAATAACATCCTGACACTTTATTTGAACACAAATGTATGAGGACATCAGGACAGTGGTGAGATGCGCTGTAGGAGACACAGATAGCTTCAAGGTGGAGGTGGGAGTGCATCAAGGTTCAGCTCTGAGCTCCTTCTTGTTTGTTCTGGTGATGAATCGACTAACAGATGAGGTCAGGTAGGAATCCCTGTGGACTATGATGTTTGCGGATGACCTTATGATCTGTGGTGAGAACAGGTGGAAGAGAACTTGGAGAGGTGGAGGTATGCACTTGAAAGAAGAGGAATGACAGACAGCCATAATAAGACAGAGTACGTGTGTGTGAATGAGAGGGAGGCCGGTGGAACAGTGAGGCTACAAGGAGCAGAGGTCACAAAGGTGTAGGACTTCAAGTACTTGGGGTCCACTGTCCAGGAAAATGTGGAGTGTGATAAAGAGGTGAAGAAGAGAGTCCAGGCAGGATGGAGTGAATGGAGAAAAGTTTCAGGAGTGATTTAAAACAAAGGGGTGTCAACAAAGGTCACAGAAAAAGTTTACAAGACAGTGGTGAGACCAGCTATGTTGTATGGTCTGGAGACAGAGACATTGCACAGGTTGAACAACTGGGAGATAAAGTTAGAGAGGCCAGACTGAGATGGTTTGGACATGTCCAGAGGAGGAACAGTGGGTATATTGGTAGAAGGATGTTAGAAATGTAGCTGCCAGGTAAAAGAAGAGGAGATATATGGATGCAGTTAGAGAGGACATGGAGGTAGATGGAGTGAGGACAGAAGATGCAGAGGACAGGGTGAGATTAGGAAGATGACTCGCTGTGGCGACCACTGAAGAGGGAAAAGCTGAAAGAAGAAGACTTTATTTGAACTCAAAATTGAATAAAAGTATTATTGCTGTTATTTCTTTGGCAGCTTGATATTGTGTTGGAGACCAACCTTGCTACAATACGAGCTCTGGAGACTGTGCAAAGGAGGCTTTCTCGCATGTCTGCTGAGGAGCAGGTGCGCTTCAGGCTGGACAACACAATCGGTGGCTCTTCGGATGTCATTCACCGTAAAGCCATTCAGAGGATATATGGAGACAAGGCTCCTGACATTATTGACGGGCTCAAGAGAAACCCTGCCGTGTCTGTGCCCATAGTTCTGAAAAGGTAATCGTCAGGGTTTTACTTTCCCCAACTCGCTAACAGTTTGAAGATGTACACATAATATTGGTGTTTTCTCACTGTTTCAGATTAAAAACAAAGGATGATGAGTGGAAAGAAGCACAGAGGGGCTTCAACAAAATCTGGCAGGAACAGAATGAAAAGTATTACCTGAAGTCGCTCGACCACCAAGGCATAAACTTCAAGCAGAATGACACCAAAGTGTTGCGCTCCAAGACTTTGCTCAACGAAATTGAGATGTTGTATGAAGATGTAAGGGAACACTTCTACTTTGTTTTTGTTTGTTTGGGTTTTTTTTACGTTTGGTTGGGTTTTAAGGTAAGGATTGTGCTGGTGTGAAACTTTTGGGTTGATTAGTTGCAGTCAGGAAAATGGAGTTCTGAAAAATGAAAATCTGAAGACATTTTTTCTGGTAAACATGTTTAAAATTAAGAATAAACACAAAAAGTTGTGATAAAAAGCCTTGAGGCCTGAGCTGGTCCTCAGCTGTTGATGTGAACTGACATATTTAGCATTCCTAGTTTTTTGTTTGTTTGTTTTGTGTGTGTGGTGGCTCAGTTGGTAGAGCTGTTGCCGGTTCAAATCCTGGCTGAGGACCTCTGTGTGGAGTTGGCATGTTCTCTCCGTGCATGCGTGGGTTTTCTCCAGGTACTCCAGTTTCCTCCCACAGACCAAAAACATGCATGTTAGACTGATTGGTAACTCTAAATTGTCCCTAGGTGTGAGTGAGAGAGTGAATGGTTGTTTGTCTCTGTGTCCCTGTAATGGACTGGAGACCTGTCCAGGGTGTCCCCCACCTCTCACATGGTGACTGTTGGACATGGGCACCAGTGACCCCCGCAACCTGGAAAGGTAGAAGCGGGTAAAGATAATGGATGGATGGTTTTGTAGTGCATTGATTAAACTATTTCATAATTGAACTATTTTCCCTCAAAACTTAATTGACTTCAAATTTATGAAGAAGTTGAGATCATCAGATCATGTTTATATTTCTTTATCTGTGGTTATACAGCTAAGATGGGTCAAAATTCACTCCAGTTTTCTCTCGTGTGCATCCTGTAGCGCCAGGAACAAGCCTCGGAGGAAAATGCCACTCCGCCACCAAGCGCCCCCCACATGACCCTGACCTACGATGACAGCCAGATCTTGGAGGATGCTGCTGGCCTCATCATCCATCATGTCAAAAGACAAGTCGGCATCCAGAAGGAGGACAAGTTCAAGATCAAACAGATAATCCACCATTTCATTCCTGACCTTCTGTTTGCACAACGCAGCGAGCTCTCTGACTTGGAGGAAGAGGAAGAAGAGGAGGAGGACGACGAAGACGTGGAGACAAATCAGGACAGTCCCAAGAAGCACAATGGTTTGCCGGGCCGCAGCCCCTCTAAGTCTAAGCTCCTGTTTAGCAGCACAGCTGCTCAGAAGCTGCGGGGCACGGACGATGTCTATAACTTGTTCTTCGTGAACAACTACTGGTACGTCTTCTTTCGTCTTCACTACATCCTCTGTTCTCGTTTGCTGCGGATTTATGGGCAAGCAGAGAAGCAGATCGAGGAGGACGCCCATGAGCGAGAGTGGGAAAGCGAAATGTTGGGGTTGAAAAAGGAGAAGAATGAAAACCCAGCGATCCAGTTAAAGATGAAGGAGCCAAGTAAGTGCACACTTATTATTTAGAGTTATAGGTTTTACCCAGTGACGTGCGGTGAGGTTTGACAGGTGAGGCCGACTCGTTTGGAATCATGCTCGCATATATGAACTCAAAATAGAAGCGTATGTTTCAGTTTAGCCTTTTCTTTTAAAAAGGCATCTAATTATGCTTTAATCACTCCATTCTCCTCTCTTTTTAAATAAATTAAAAATGTATTACCTTTATTTCAAGATGAATGAGTTTAGAAAAATCCTTTAGTTTTGAGATATGATCTTCCACCCCCGCCCCTCTGCATAACAAGAACGCACAGCGACGTTTCATGGAGCAGCACTGCCCCCTATCGGCGTGACATGGTACTTTACCTTACTCTGTGTATTTTCAGCATGCATTTATGACCCGAGTAGAAAGAAGAAATATGTCACACACATACATTCAATATATTAGACGGACTGTAGAACATCAGCATGTGCAGCACATGTGTAATCAAGCATGTGTATTGGCCATATAAAGAGAGACAATGGGCATGCGCCAACCACCTACTTCATATATTGTATATGACACAGCGCCCCCAGAGGAGAACCAGAGCACCACACTGCCTCGCCCCACATTGTTTCTACAGGTAATGAGTAAATTCTGCGATTTTGACCACTGAAATGTTTAAATAATTCAGAAAAAAAGTTTTATAAAATAGTTTTGTAGAACAGTCAAGTGGTCAAATGTATTTTCTCTTATCATTGTCAGTATTTTACTTGTCCTGATGACAGGAGAGGGCGGCACTGCCTCCCCTGACTGCACGTCACTGGTTTTAACTATATTCTATGTTTCTTACTCCAAGGTTAAAAACTTTTTTTCATGAAATTATAGGAATTTTTAGTTTGTTTATATTGAAGATTTAAACTAGTAAAGGTAAAGCATTAATAATCTTTTTTTAATTTTTTTTTAACTTCTTTCAAACTCATCTTAAAAATGTGTAGAAAAATACTTAATCACAGAGCTGTTGGATGTGTTTTTCCCGGTGTTGTGTTTCCGTAATGTGACTGAGTTTAAATAGCTTGAAATTTAAAATTTTATTAACTTAAACTGCTTTTTTTTTTTTTTTTTTTTACCCACTTGGTCATTGTGCATCAAGCGTTAGGCTCTGCCTGTAAAACAACACGTGTACTGTTTTCTGTCTGCAGTGGAGGTTGATGTAGACGAGTATTATTCTGTGTTTCTGGAAATGGTGCGAAATCTGTTGGATGGAAACATGGAGCCGGCTCAGTACGAGGACTCCCTGAGGGAAATGTTTACGATCCACGCCTACATTGCCTTCACCTTGGACAAACTGATCCAGAGCATTGTCCGGCAGGTTGGTAGATTTAGGATTAGAACATTATTGTTTCCCTTTCTATAGTAAACGTAGTTTAGTCCCAATCCAAGCATTAACTAGAGAAATTGCATTTCCTGCAAAAATGCAGTGTGAATGCTTATTGCAGAAGAATTTGCTGAAAAACAGCTGAAATTAACAATAAAGCATGCTGAAATGAAAGAACAAGCCTACATTAGCAAAAGATGGCAAAAAGAACTCATTTACTGAATTAGGTTTAAATAAGCAGAAATGAGCACAAAAAATAGGACATTGGCTTAAAAAGGCTTGAAATTAACAAATGGCTGAAAATGCAGAAAAAAATCTTAAACTATACAAGAAATATATAACAAATCCCACCCCTCTTACCTATAGTATTTATAAGTCTTACAGGAATAAATATAATTATCTTATTAAAGCTGAAAATAAGAAATATTTTAGTGGTAAATTTAAGTGTTGCAGTGATAACTGGGAAGTGTTGAATCAGTTGTTACAAAGAGAAAAAAGAAAACCAGAGTTACCATCTGTATTTTCAGATGGTTTATCATCTTAATATTTAATATTATCATATTTTTTTTTCTTTATCTCTAAAAACTGGGATTGTACCAGACCATTTGAAAGTTGCTAAAGTTATTCCTCTGTTCAAGGCTGACGTTCCACATTGTTTTCATAATACAGACCTATATCTATACTGCCATGTTTTTCAAAAATACTAGAAAAAAATGTGTATAAAAAGATTCTCCCATATTTAGACCGTAATTCAATTCTTTACAAACACCAATACGGTTTTAGGAAGAATCACTCTACATAAATGGCTTTGCTTCATCTGGTTGACAATGTTACCTCTGCACTTGAAATTAATGAATTGTCCTCTAGTATTTTCATTGATTTATCAAAAGCATTTGTCGCTGTGAATCATCATATCTTAATGCAAAAACTTTACAAGTATGGTTTTCATGGTGTTGTTTACAAATGGTTGAATAGTTATATTTGCAATAAGCAGCAATTTGTTAGTTTTAAAGGTTGCAATTCTAACAGAGCCAAGATATTTTGTGGGGTTCCTCAAGGCTCCATTCTTGGACCATTGTTATTTTTGATTTACATAAATGATTTATCAAATGTTTCCAATGTTCTTTCACCAATCATGTTTGCTGATGATACAACACTGCTTCTTTCTCATTCACATTTTGATTCACTTTTGAAAAATGGGAATCTTGGCTTGAGTGCCTACGCGTCATGGTTTGGATTAAATAAACTATCTTTAAATCTAAAAAAAAAAAAAAATCAAACTTCATGATTTTTAGTGGTAAAAGGTCATATTTTGGAAAATGTTCAAAAATTCTTATTGATGGCATTGCAATATGACGAGTATCATCAACAACATTACTTGGAGTTATTGTTGATGAGCGCTTAAGGTGAAAAGACCACATGGATTGGATTTGTAGAAAAATGCATAAATCGATTGGTATAATAAAGAGGGTTAGTCATTATATCGAATGTTTGCTTACACTTTATTAAAGTCTGATATACCCATATCTGTCTTATTGCAAAATAATTTGTGGAAGTACAGTTCCCACAACTTTGCATAAAATTCTGGGTCTTCATAAACGCTTTTGTTAGAATTGCAAATCGTTCAGATTATCATTGTCCTTCTGCTCCTCTGTTTAGGAATTTACACACTTACTATTTATAACATTAACATTTTTCTAATTTGTATTTTTGTTTATAAGATTTATGTAAGTCAAGAGGATATACCAAAGCATTTCACCCATTACTTTAAATCAAATATGCAGTTTCATTCTTACTTAACTCGCCAGAGTCCAGCGCTTCATCTTCCTAAATATCAGACCAGTAGAGTCAGTTTTCTCTCCGTTACAGGGGAGCTAAAGTTACGTATGATTTTTTTTTTGCATTTGGTAACAGGCAGGCCTTCTGTAAAAAGTTTAAACATTATTTAAGACTTGATTTAATCAAAGAATTGTGATTGTCACATTTTAATAGTTACATATTTAAAATTTCCACTAATACTTTGTATATATGTTTTGTTTTTTTTGTTTTTTGTTCCGTATAACTGTATTCCTAAATTTATGATCAACTGACTGTATTCTTGGATTGTATTAATTGTATTATTTAAATGTATTGGGTGATGGCTTTATATAATTCCACTGGCTCTGCCTCTCCCTGCACTGTTATTATTATTATTATTTTTTAATATATCTGATCTGTATTTTAATTGTGCAAAATAAACTAAACTAAAAAAGGCAGAAAGAAGCTGAAATTACAAGAAGGAAGTGGAGAGAGCACATTTTTGTTGAATTAGGCTGTAAAGGGTTTAAATGAGAGCAAAAAACGTGGATTTAGCTGAAAAAGCTTAAATTAGCAAAAATCAGCTAGCATAAATAGTAGCTAAAATAATAGAAAAGGCTGAAACATTCAGAAATGAGCTTAAAGGAGCATAATGAGCTGAAATTAGCTGAAAGAAGTTGGAAGAAGCACAAAAAAACGGCTGAAAAAAGAAGCTGAAGCAGAACAACATGTGAAAGGAGCGGATGTAAAATTAACTCAATTAATTTTCTATGAGGAAAAAAGTGACAGAAAAGGCTAAATATTTCAAAAAGCTAAACTTGCATCAAAACCAAAAGTCAAAGCAGGATTGTCCTGAAAGAGCTGAATGTTTTGATATAAGATTTGTTGAAATATCTAAAAAAGTTAAATCTGGTCTTCTGGACATTCAAAAAAACAAAACAAAGCAAATCAACAACAAAAAAAAACCATTTACATTATACATTCTACATTTTTTTGTTGATTTGCTTTGTTTTTTTTTTTTTGAATGTCCAGAGGACCAGATTTAACTTTTTTAGATTTTTCTACCTGGATTATTGAGCATGCATCAGGATATTTGTTGAAATAGCTGAAAACTGCAGGACGAGAATCGCGTCGAAAAATGGATCACAATAGTGTGAATGCTTCATAAACATTCACACTATTAGCCATGTAAAATAGTCAGCTGAGCTTTAAAGGCGGGGGGGGGGGGGTTATTTTGTAAGTCACAAAGTACATTTGATTAATGCTCGTCTTGAGTGCTGTTGTCACTTAACTGGGTGCATCTGTTGCATACTAAACCTACTGTATCCACAGCTCCAGCACCTTGTTACAGATGACGTCTGTGCACGTGTGACTGACATGTACCTGAGTGAGAGTGCCAATAAAGCCACAGGTGGCACAGTGTCAACGCAGACATCCAGGGCTGCTGCCGAGGGGACCTACCAGCACAGAGCAGAGCAGCTCATGTCAGACGAGAACTGCTTCAAGGTACCAAAACTTTTCATTTTAGACCAGTCTGTATTACCCTGAACACCTTGTTTATGTGCACGGTCCCCTGACCGCTTGTGTTGTGCACAGCTGATGTTTATGAAGAATCGAGGGTCTGTCAGTCTGGCATTGGAGCTGCTGGATACAGAGGAAGAGAACTCCGATGAGCCCGCTGACGCAGAAGTAAGAATCGTTTCAGTTCAGTTTTCACAGGTTTAGCTGAACAGATTCAGCTGAGTTGAATGATTTAGTGTCAAAGTAAATGATTGGTCAGCTGTCTTATATTCTAGTTCTCCAACGCTGGCATGGTCACTCTGAGGCTTCCCATTTTCAGAATTCAAAGCAGACTAAAGTTTCAAGATGTGCTGTTCAAGCTGTTTAATCCAAATGGGCAAGAACGAGAGCTGCAGGCACAGGAGTGAGCTAGGAACACCTTGTGCAGTGCATGAGAGACACAGTCTGTTTACTTCTTTTTGAGTGCCGTCAGCCTGTGGGACCACCGTACCCCCATCTACTCTCTGCAGAGGTCTGCTCTGAAGTTCTTCATGGAAAAGTTTAGGCCAGAAAGCCTAAATTGAAACGAGGTCAAGCTACTCAACAAGTGGAATATGCAGCAGGTACTACTGTACCTGATGTACTTCACGTACATCTGAACTGATGAATCAAAATTTTAAATATTTGTCTGTAGGGAGGACAGTTTGTTTCACAACGGTCTTCAGTGCCGTCCAGTAATTCAGTTTATTTATGTAGCGCCAAGTCACAGCAGAAGTCCTCTCGGGGTACAGGTAAGGACGGATACAGGCCCAATGATACAAATTTAATATATTACTAAAAGAAGTACAAATTATGTCCTAATGCAGGCTAAATTGGTGGTTTAATATCAGGGATGTAATTGTGTCCGTTAAATGATCAAACTTTTTAAAATAATCTTTAAAAAAAAAAAAGCTTTGTAACCAACTTGAATAATCCAAATTGGTGATTCAAGGTAAAGCAGTTTAATTTATTCCTGTATTCTTCTCTACAGAAATGGTCAGATTATGTGAGCAGGTACTCTACATCCCCAGAGCTCCGTGAGCATTTGGCCCAGAAACCAGTTTTCCTCCCCAGGTGAGAACCCATCGTCATTAAACTACGGTTTAAGAAGTTAGGAGTTCACAATGGTCACGGTAAAGAGACTAAACTGCTGCTCACGCTTAAAAATCTCTAATTCTGTGATTCAGTTCAAGTTTAATGCAAATATCATTTGTTAGTAAAGTTTTAATGATTGTAGTTTAGATTGTAGTTTATTCTGAGTTTAAAAAAAAATCACTCTTACATTCAAATTTTGTATGGGATTGTATTCAGATTACAGTCCTGCATGTGGGTCTCTCAGGTCAGGTCTTCAGGTCTCTCTTCTAAATGAGTCCCCGAGGCTCAATGGGATTAACTTGTATACGTAAAGGTTGAATGAATGAATGTGTCACAGTTTGCATTTTTAATTGTATGTATGGGGGAGTGGTGGTGCAGAGGTTAGAGAAGGTGGGCCAGTGATTGGGAGGTCACTGGTTCAACTCCCCGGACCAACGGCATCAAAATGTGGGTGTGAAAGGTGAATCACCCACACCTGCCTCCACCCTCATTTCCCCACTCTGTGCCCTTGAGCAAGGCTCTTAACCCCCACCATCTGCTCCCCTGGGCGCCTTAGATAGCAGCTCTGCTCCACACAGAGGGCTGTGGTAGCTCGGTGGGCTGTGGTTGTGTCAGGAAGAGCATCCAGCATAAAAATAATTGCCGTGTCTTCATGCGAGGTAGTTCGCTGTGGCAACCCCTGAAGAAGGGAGCAGCCGAAAGAAAAAAAGTATATGTATATTTAGGTTTGTTATTGTTTGTAACAATTTTCTGTATAAACTGCAATCTTTAGTCAGTTGGGAGATAATTTTTTGGAGCTTGTTGTGACAGATTTTAATAATGGTAATGGTTCTTTGGTCCTGCATATTATTTACAGCACTTGTACAGAGCAGAAGGGTTTGTAAATAAAACCATTCTTTAAATGGTTTGCTCTTAGCCTGGTACTTTTTCTAGACCAGGGGTCTGCAACTTGTGGCTCTGGAGCCACATGCGGCTCTATGGTTCCTCCGCAGCGACTCGTTCAAGCTTTGACCAAAGCTAACATAAAACTGAATTTTATTTATTGTTTTACAAACGACAAAAAAGGTCTGGTTTAACTCTTTTCCAGTCATTTATTTTGCTGGAACATGTACAAGGAGTAAAATAAACTCACTGTAACTTTATGCTTTATTTCTATATTTAATTTTTCCACAATAAACAAAATACATAGGTCTGCATAGTTCATAGTTTTTTATTAATTAAATAACTTCCCCACCACACAAGAATCTGGTCAATTGTCTTAAATTGTAAAAATCTAAATTATTAGATGTTTGTTAGCTTTATAATGTCACCCTTAATGGTCACAAAAGCCCCCTCCAACAAACCACCGGTTGATCATCACAGCAGGTTGTTGCGGCTCTGATCACTTAATTTAGTGAACGAAGGTGTAAAATGGTTCTTTTGATCGTAAAGGTTGCAGACCCCTGTCCTAGACCCATCACAGTCTTGTCTTTGAAGTGCAATAAGTGTTGCGCGTACAGCTATCTTGATTTTTTGTGCTTATTTTATGAATTTAGTTTTTTGAGACGACCATTCATGGTCATAATACTTTCAAAGACTTTTAAAAATACATATAGCTCCTCGTGGATTTATCTCTAAAACAATTGGATCCTCAATATTTTCATGTTGATTCAGGTGAAATTTTGATTGTAACTTTTTTCACTGTCTGTTGTGCATCACGTGAATATTTTATTAGATATCTGTGGTAATTTAGACTAAACACTGACTGACCACATTGCCAAACAAACCCGGTTGTGTACCCAGTTTGTGTAAAGTAATGCAGTATAACAACTTGTAACCTAGCTTGAACTTTAAAATAGTTTGAGGTTCACATTGTTGTAGATGATCAAGTTTCCTTTTAGAGGGATCTCTTCTGAGTAGCAGTTAAGTTTTGACTCTCCTGTGTGAACTTCTGACTCACCCGAGATCACACTGATTGCTATGTGCTGCAGGTAAGATAGTGACTACTCCCAAGCACTCCATTCAACCCCACTCTCTTTAAAATTGCACAAAGCGGTGTCGGACATGATCATAACCTATAGCAGGTTAACATGGGTTTTTACTTCTTCACATTCATTTGAATTTTTTATTTCTGTTTTTGGATTTAAGGAATTTGAGGCGGATAAGAAAGTGCCAGAGAGGGTGGGAGCAGCTGCAGCAGGAGAGGATCACTAAAGGCTCCTCAGACAAGCCGCAGGACAGCAACAGTGATCTGAAGATGAAGTGCATGTTCAAACTGAACTCCTACAAGATGGTTTATGTCTGCAAGTCCGAGGACTACATGTACAGACACACGGCGCTGACCCGAGCTAACCAGGTCAGTCCACTAACCTGCTACTTTTCTCTAAGATGTGGAAAATAAAACTATGTATTTACCGTATTTTCCGCCGTACCCATCGCCCTATAAGTCGCATCAGTCCAAATATGTCTAATAAAGTGGAAAAATCCATAAAAATGTCGCTTCGCCGTATACGTCGCATCTGTTCTGCGTCACCGCTAACAATCTGGAAATGCGGGCCGGTGTTGTGCCAAAAATCGATGGGCTGCCAAATGGTGACCGCGGGAGCGTGCATGGGAGGACTTTAACAAGAATTTAACAAGATTAGCACTTAAAAACAATTATTTGTTTGCTCGAAATTATAGTAAACGTGTGTCTCGGTCTAATATTTGCTTCATAAATGCACTTTGACGGTCAGTTCAGCTGTATTCATTGCTTCTGTGCTCCGGGAGCATGCAGAGGGAGGAAAAGAAGGAAGGACAAACGCTGCTCGTTTCTTCGAAACTTAACAAGAAAAGCACCTAAAACAATTATTTGTTTGCTTGAAATTATAGCAAAGGTGTGTCTCAGTTAAACTTTTACTTAATAAATGCGCTTTGATGGTCAGATAAGCTGCATTTCGCCGGGGCGGTGCAGCTGGTTTGACTTGCTCCAAGCAGCAAGCAGAACGAAGGTGGGGGGACTGTGGCAGGCCGATTGTGTCATTAATAGCTGGTGAAGATTCTCAGTCATCCAGGACATGGTAAATTCAAAAAAGTTCAAGAATGAAAACAATAAAGTATAAAATAAAAAGTCCAGTTGTTTTTGTCTTGAACTTTTTTGAATTTGTCATTATAGCCACGTTTACCTATTATATGATACAACGGCATGCCTTACTGCTACTATTACTACTGCTACTGCTCTGCTGCCATCAAGTGGCTGAAAATGGTACTGTTCAAAATTTTTCAGTCAGAATGAATGAAAACGATCATATCTCAACCAAAAATTGGTTTATAAATATGGGGGGAAATTCATAAATACGTCACTTCGGCTTATAAGTCACAGATCATGTGCAAAAAACCGCGACTTATAGGCCGAAAAATACGGTAGTTACTCGAGTCTGAAAGCTTGGTCGTACACAGATTTGCTTTTCATTCCTGCTCTCAGTTAAACCACGTTTGTTTTGATCAAGTTAACTCTTGGACTTGAGATGGAGCTTTTATTTCTTCAGATGAACGCGTTGTCTTGAGTTTCCACAGCATGTCAGCTGCAGCTGTACATCACTGTTGTTAATGTGACGCTCACTAACTGTGATTTATGGTTTACTGCTGCCATGTCTCTAAAAGAAGTATGACCTCCAAAGATTTCTTTATTTTATATTCCTGAGGGAAGCTAAATGCAAACTTTAGGTGTTGTTAAAACTGAAGGTAACTTGTAAACCTATAGAAACATTTCATTGTGTTTTGTTTCGTGATGTATTTGCTGCCATATTTCTATACTAAGCCGTGTTGTTCTCGTTCGTGTGTTTTCCCAGTCCCACCAGCGGGTGCACACACGCCTCCACAAGCGCTTTCACACCTGGTTGGACAACTGGGCTAAGACTCACGTGACGAGCGAAATGTCTGCCAACACTCAGAAATGGCTGAGGGGAGAAGGACAAGAGGGACTGTTGTCGTGCACCACCACCTGCTGCCCTCAGGTCCTCCATTATCTCAACATTACCAAGTACCGGGTGAAGTACAGGACACTGTAGTACTCTGTCATCTGAGGCAGGAAGTACTGCCAGAGAGGAGACCTCCAACCTGTCATTACTGGACACAGCTGCCAAAACAGGTCGGGTTGTCTACCTGTAATTTAAAGATGTACATTTTAAATTTTTCACACAACGCTGAATATTTTAAACTTTACATGTTTGTTGAAAGTTCTGAAATTGGGTTTTACACAAGTTGCTTTCTCTTGAGAATTCATTATGTACAGTATATACATGTGTGAGAAAAAATACTCGTTGATTTATCCACACAGTCTGAACCTTTCGTTACTACAACTCATGGGCGAAAAGTGTTTTTTTATTTTTTGGGGGGGGGACGCTTCAATCATTTTAAAGACGATAAAAACGTGAGAACCTCAGCTTTTCTCCTGAGGTAACGAGAACAAGTACCTGTTACCTTTCTTAAAACGTTTGTGCTTAGATCTTGGGCTTCATGTGGCTTCCAGCTGTAAACCTGTAAAACCCGTGAATGTTTTCTCCGTTGGTTGTAAAAGTGCGACAACGCACTGCTCCTATACGTACATCCAACATGTCTGGCTCCTGTTTGATAGATGCTTGGCATTAATGCCAGCTTTGTGTATCGAGCACAGTAATTTATATTTGCCCAAACAACTCGTGTAAATATGTTGTTTATATCTACATTTTCTGTTTTTTATCAGGAGTTACTGATGTGTAGCATACATTAACACATAAAGTGTCCATCTTTAGCCAGAGGATGCACAGAGTTTTATCAAAGGAAGGAAAACTTAACTGTTTTTTACCAAAGGAAGTTACTCAGAGACATTTCTAATGTATGGGCTGTTGGTTGCATCGTTGCTAAAAGTTTTAGTTTATTAAAAAAAAATAATAAAAAAAGAGGCCTAATTTTAAAGTGACTGGTTCTTTTGCTGTACATCTGGACCTGCAGTTTCCAGGCGTCAGTACCACGCTTGGTTTTAAGATGACTGAATGTAGCTGAGCAACCGTTTCTGCTCATGAAAGTGCAGTATGCTGTGTGGCTGCTTTCAGGGTACTCAAGAGTACTTTGTCTTGTATTTAAACTTCGCAAAAATGGTTAGAATCTGCGTTTCCCCTGTTAACTGTACACAAGCTTGACTTTTATCTGCCCGACTTGCTGATAAGTAGCTGGTCTGCACATGTCAGCCGTGTGACTTGTGTCCAGTTAAAGGATGGGGGAAACGAGCAATAACTCCCTGTCAGTTTGTATTTCTTACTGCAATACAGTTGAATATGTTGTATATTCATCAACAAAGACAGACATTTGAACATTTTAATTGCCTGTTCTTTTACATTTTAGTAAAATTGGAGTTGACCCTGTTGGGTGACAAGATAATCCATCGCACTAAATGCTAGAATGTGATTCTCGCAGGATTTTCGTAAAAGTTTCACGACTGCATGCTGATTATTTGATTTCAGCTTTCGGTCGTTTCATGGCAGGATGGAAGCAGACGTAAATATGATATAATCATTGGCAGCGATCCTGATAGGAAACAAAAACTGCCTGATGGAATGTTTCTTCTCCTGAGGTCCACTAAAGGCAGCGGTCAGTAACCTAACCAGCTGCAGACAATCTTTAAATAGTTTAATACTTCATGGGTTTTTATTTTTGTATTCACTGCGTTTGTAATAAACACAGGAAGTCCTGGGCCAGCTGATTGTACATACAGATATTGTTTGTACCTCGTTTAATGTGTCACTTCTCTTGACTTTTAAGATGTTGTACATGAGTGTTAGTATGGTGTTTGGCATTAAACTACCCTTTGAATAGACTCTGTCTCATCTGGCCGCTTTATTTTTCACTCTTATTTTCCTAAGCCTGTCGAAGGCGGGTCGTATTATGGTTTGGTATTCATACGTAAACTTTGTCTTGTCCCACTCAACTTCTGCTCAAGATAATTTCATATTTTTATCAAACTTCAGAACGGTTTTATTCACATTGCGACCACTAAGGTCTCGGTCGTGTGTAACCAGCTGTATTCATGTGTTTATTGGTGACAAAAAGAAACCACTTTGTTTACATGCAGTGTTAAAAAAATATGTACAGAAGAGAAAGCAAAACATTATCTAAATTAAACTTTGACACAACGCTGCACTGAGCCATGTTGTGTGAAACGCTGACAGGTTGTTTTCTGCAGGATGGTTGTGTTTGGAAAACTGGACGCCGTCTATGCTCGAACGTAGATCCGTGTGCAGATCACGTCATCCGCTCCAAAGATCTGGAATGAGAAGTGTGGGGACGAAAATTACAACGTTAACAGCAGCTGCATCTCTTTATATATATATATATATATATATATATATATATATATATATATATAT